GATGACTGAGGGTTTGCTAAAAATTCTATAAATGCAATAGTCATTGATGCATCAGCTTCATTAATTGGTCATGACTTGAGCATCCAAAACCTCAGGATGAGATCCATAACTACAGATGAATCATCTTTAACAGTTGGTTCTGTAGCCCTAACATTTGGGACCACCACGCTCCAACACCTTAAGAGCTTAAACTGTGTAGACTCCAGCAAACGTACGAGTATAAACTATGTTAACAACGGTCAATGTGTTAGAGAAAAGGACAATGCCGGATAACGCATTACAGTAAAGGTCGATGCCGGTCAACGCATCGATAATTTTATCAAAATAAGGCTAAGGAAAAATTCTGGGTTAAAGGATGATTCCAAGAAGTTCAATTGCAATTCAGATATGAATTCCCGATAAAGATGGTCAGTTCAACGTTAACTAAACAACACGAGCTAAATTCAAATGCTTATACACCGACTTCGGTTCAAGATTTCGATAACAGCCAGACGATAAATACAGCAACAGAAGAACTTCATCTATTCGACAAAACACTGAATAGACTGAAGGCTGAAGAAGTTAAGAATTGAAGCCATTCACATGTCCTTCTACGTGATCTCCTCAACAAAATACTGAAGAGATTGAAAATAAGGCATGTCTTATCCAAAGCATTTCAAACTCCTCTATAAAAGAATGAGTCTGAAATACTTTGGAGGGGGTATCTGTAGGGGTCTAAAAATGCCTATAGGTATCCGTACGTAGCTCGAGATGACGAGAATATGATGAACGTCACTATCCGAGTCAGGAAGGATTATCCAGTCAGCCGCTGTGAACATCAGTCAGCTTGCGCACGTTAGTTAGCACGTGCACGTCAGTCAGCACGCGCATGTTGGTCAACTCAAAGTGACCGAACGCGCACGTCAGTCAGCCCGCGCGTGATAGTCAGATCCAAAGTGCCCGACGCGTTTGTCGATCAGTTCCAAGTGCCGTAAAGAAGCTAGTGAATGCATGAAGCGAGTTAACGACGCGTGCAAGTCAACAAAACGATCAAATACACAAAATGATGGAGAATACAAGTCCTAGAAAGTAAAATGCCAAAAAAGAGTTCAGCTGAGGCGGTGGACCCATGCCGGTGGGAGACGGCGCTGGCCGACCAGTGCCAGCGTGGGTCAAACTCGGCTGACTCGCACCCCTGCGGGTCAGCATGAACTGTCTCGCGCAGGTTTGACCCGAAAACGCGTTTTGACGGGTTTTAGTTGTTTTCACAGGATTTATCTGTTCCAGTGGTTCCCAATTGATTTGATATCATCCACAAATATGATTAGATCGTTATTAACTAAAGATAAGGTCAAATCACTCATTCTTATCCAAATACCCCTAACCGGAGCTTATAAATACATGCTTAGGGGCTCATTTCACAGGGCGAAGATAAAGAGGACGAAACGCTGCCGAATTGGAGAGTGGAGTCACGAATTTACAGTGAGAGTTAGCAGATCTTAGCAAATTCCTGTGCATAAAGAGTTTCAAGAGATCTAAGACCCGTCCCCTATTCCTCCGGATTTAAGCTTAGTCTTAATCTCGAGAAGAGTCGTAATCTCGCTTGGTCGGGATTACCGCTGCAGCGATTACTTCCTTCGTGAAGTAAGAATTTTGATTAACTTAATCTATCAACCGGATCTGATCCGTGACGGTCCATGGATATTAATGTTCCCGGCACAGGCGAAGTTCTCACGCAAACAGTGGGTGATAAACGTCTGTTGCGCTGTTTGACAAGAATTGTACTATTTTACATTTTCATTGTATAAGTCGATCTTATAAAAAGATCTACTTTTCTCATTTATTTGAGTTTATTATAACGACCAAAGTTGTAATAGATTCTAAGTAATGAAAACATCAACTTTTGACCCAAACGGTGAGTTGCATTTGTAGCTGATTGTGAGCTGCATTTGCACCGTTTGTAGCTAATTGTGAGTTGCATTGCTTTGACTCTAGAACGTGGCCATTTGGTTTTATTTCTAGGATGCAAAGATGAGTTATGCGTCTTGGACTGAAGAGATCGTTGACTTGTAATCTCTTTTGTCAGAGCGTTATAATGATTGTTATTTTATAATATTTGCTTTAGCTCCTTAAAATGTGAGAGTCGTCAAATTGTAACTCTCGTTGTTGATTGTGAAGAGTGTTAAATCAGAGCTTTCATCGCTTGTCGTGAAGGTCATCAAATTGTAACCTTTCTCGATCTACGTGAAAATCTTCTAATTATTGCCTTCATTTGTTAATGTGAAAATCATTTGATTGTAACTTTTATCATTAGTGTTTGATGCGTAAGTCATCAGATTATAATTTTTATTATTGGTGTTTGATGGGGATCAGCTATCTGTAGTAATTTTTAGACAACCTACAGAATCCCGTCCAAAGTTTTTTAAAAGTTTGCGGTTGACTGGAACAAAATTTTAAAATACTTTGAATCCCCAAATTAGTTTGAGATCTGTTGTTGAGTGATAGTTCACTATATCTGTTTGAAGGTGCCATGAACCTAAATGTTGAACTTTGCTGCACAGGACCCGTATGCTAGTGATCACAATAGGATTTTTGGCAAATCATCAACCATCAACAGATTTGATGTGCCTTTATCGATTACCGTTTGAAATCGGGCTAGCGTGTGAATTGTCTAAGTCCGTTTCACATGTAACATTATGCTAAAAGAATAAACTCTTTTAGGCTTAGTGTTATGATATTGAATACATAGGTTATGTCATTTTCACGGGAAAAAGACTAACCAGCGACGCGTGTTAGGCGTCGGCTTGTCTCTAATTAGGGATCAAGACAAAATCTCTCATGCGTGTGAGACATGATTTTGGCATTATTAATAACAACCCGCTACGATATTGAATACGTAGACTCCGGTAAATATGTGAGACGCGGCTCAAATTTGACCAGAATGATCATTGTAGGATTTGATGAACACCCAAGGCACAACCCAAATTTGCCCAAATGTGGGGATGATGGTTGTCGTAAGTGTAATGTTAATTTGATGACAGTAGGAAATTTTGCCAGCTGAATTAGCTTAGACTCTGATGAGGATGTACAGAGGTTTTAATAGCTCTCTGTTAACGAGTTTCATGATACATGATCTTAGAGAATAAATGTCATGTTGGAAAACGCAAGGGTTAACCCTATGTTTAAGAGAATTAGAGTGCAAAAACAGCATCTATGTTTAAGGTTTGAAACGCAAGGCTAAGCCCTTTGTTGAACTCTGGCAACGCGGGTACACGCCTAGCATTTAAAACTTGGAACGCAACATCCAAAATCATTGCGTTTGGTCTGTGGGACACAAGATAAGACTCTACGTATGATTAGAAGTCTAAACGACTTATCTAATAACGTGGAGACCGCATTCAAGTGGGAGTTTCAAAACTTCGTGCCATCTACAACATGGTGCCTTGTTATAAATAGACATTTATCGGTCATATAAATGGTCATTAACCACCCATACCTCCGCCTTAACTCTTTGAATGAGTTCTTCTCGTTAACTCTAGAATCTCTAGACGATTTGCGTCTGTCCTCAACCACCAGCGGCCATAGTTTCGACAAGAAGGAGTTCTCGCCTGCAAGGGGTTGCGGAAGAGGATCCTATCTTGCCGTTAACCAACGACATGATGGGTGTTTCCGATTCCATGTCAGCACCGTCGTTGATGCCCTTATTGTGAGCGTTTGGTCATTGAGGTATGTAAACATCATTGTTTACTTGTTTTTGATGAGTTTGCTCAAAACCCTAAATAGGTTCTTGGTTGACGATGACGAGGAAGACTTGTTTCCTTCTGGTTGAAATGCAGAGTTTGGACTCTGTGTTAATTATAAAACATAGTGATGACTCCTGTGTTTTGAAATCTGAATGCGGGGCTTGATCCCTTGCGTTTGAGATTGAAAACGCGGGTCTTGACTTCTGCGTTTGAGATCGAAAACGAGGGTGTTTTGACCTCTGCGTTTGAGATTAGTCTTTTAGACTTTTAGGAAGTTTATTAACTTCCACCCCCCCCCTTTTTTTTTGTAGCTCGAGATGATGTTCCCACTGTTGAACCCTGCACATCGTGATCTTTAGGGAAAATAGCCCCTTACTACAGAGGAGGAGGCTCATTATGAACGAGATGTCCAAAAGAGGCAATCAACTGAACCTATCATCGTATCTGATGATGAAAAGGAAGAGTCGCCGAGAGATGACGACCTAGAGGATGCTCCCCTAATTCAACTCATCTCGATGATCTTCCCTGGCGAAGATCGAGAAAAGGTAACCCTTGACTCTCTCAACCTTAATCCTGAATGTGTGATGTTCCTCGTCAGGCGCTTAGAGAATGTGATGAAACAAGCCATCTCTGTCGTTGAACACGGCTGGGGTACTTTTTCTAGATTTCATGCCCATATTGAGAGTGGCTTAAACGCTCTTGGTCGAGTAGATTATCGACGAGCTATGATCTGCGTGGAAAAACTCCGTCGCTACATAAATGCTATTCGCTATCTGAAACAGTTGCTGCACACTGATCTGGGGCCCAAGATTGAATAGGCCGTAGTTGTCTAACCTAACTTTCCACATTAAGTAAACACTTAGCTCTAGTTAGTCCCAACCCTCAATTAACATTGGCTTGAGTATGCTATAAAAACAAGTTTGAAACATAATTAATCAAACACAATTAAGCACAGAAAATATGAAAGATCTTATAACCTTTTGATAAACAAATCATCTTTGATGAATCTAAGCATAACACATGAAAAACATATGGATGAACTCAAGGGCAATTCTCCTCACCGAAATGATCTAGAGATATTGTGCGTGACGAGAAAGAGTTTCTTGAAGCTTGGGGGTCAAAACTTTCAATGAAATCTCTTCTCAAATCAAAACCCTTGAACTCTTCCTTCTCTCTATCTCTTTCAGTGTTATATAACCTTCAATAGATTAGAACGTGGTAGAATTTGGAGATCAAAAGGAATGATGAACGATTGTTATTAGTACATCAAATCTGCAATCAGCTGACTTTACCATCGATTTTTGGCTGCTCCTGACCATCGATGGGTCTCTGAGCATCATCAATGGGTTCCTGTAAACCATCAATGAGCTGAAATGCTATCTCTGAAATTTTATCAGTCGGTGCTTGTACTCATTGATGATCGCACACCCATTGATGGGTCACTAATGAGCATCATGGTTCGATGACTGAAATCATCTATTAAACTGATTTTCACACTATTTTGCCTTGTACACATCTTATATTTGTATGCACATGTATTATATCATCTCAAATAATTATTAGTATCAAATGAGAGTTTATTGTTACTCAAAAAAGAACTATTGTACAGACTATGTCCTAACATGGGTGATTTTGAAGTTTACATATCTAGATGGACAACCCTGAAAATTACTGACTGTAATTACACATGTGACCTTAGTGTTATGACGACAGTTTAGAAACTTTTTTTTTTCAAACGTGGAGTTTTCATTGCATGTTGGCTCTGTTTTGGGCCCTGGTTAAGGTTAAGGTTATGATTAAGGTTAAGGTTAGAGTAATAGCAAAGATTAGTTATTAGATTTAGATTGTACTTATGATAATAAAATATTTATTAACAATCTTTGCTATAAACCTTACCCAAAACTCTAATCCTAAAATATAATCCTAATTTTAACCAACATCTAGCAAAAAGTCCAAAGTCAAATTTGGGTCCTAGTTAAGGTTAAGGTTATGGTTATACTTAATGTTAAGACTAGAGTTATAGCAAAGGCTACTATTTAGATTTAGATTACGCTTATAACAATAAAATATTAATTAGAAATCTTTGCTACAAACCTTATCCAAAACTCTAATCCTAAATTCTAACCATAATCCTAATCTTAGCTAACATCCAATAAGAAGTCCAAAGTCAGCAAAAAAGGAAAGACCTACTATTAGATTCTAGGGTCCTCAACTTAGGGGTTGTTTATGTTAGACCCTAGAAGGGGGGTGATTAGGGTCTTATGCTAATCTAATCCGATTATATGCTAATTAAAATTAATTAACAAGTTATCCTAGCAAGTATGAAATACAACAATATATGTAAGCTAGGATAAGCAATATGAACAATAAGATATATCCTATATGATGAAATATATATGCAAGGATATATAAACTAACACAAGGGTAAACAATATGAACTAGATAGTGGATGATATAGATAATGAGCTAATGACAATGGCGATATAAGATATGAACATAAAAATGAATGAACGCCAAAGCACACTCAAACAAGCAATATGATCACGGAGTTCGAACCTTCCGTCCTACGTCTCCGCTCCCCACTCTCGGGGAGAAATCCACTAACACAATCCGGTTTGGAAGCCGGAACTTCTTCTACACACTCGATTTTCTAGCTAACCGAAAACTCTACAACTCACACTCTTACAATCACACTCTACACCCACTAAGTGTTGGACCTAGCCGTGTCTCCCTCAAGTGCTCGGTTACAACCTCTCCTTAGGCACGTCAACCGACGCCACTCCTCTTGGGACGATCCCCAACTCTCACCACACACTCCTCACTCGGCGTACAAGTGTATTACAAAGTGAATCTCTCAAGATAGGCTCAATACAAAGTGATTGTTCTCTAAACAAGGAGAGAACTCAATTAGACTCAACTCAATGTTACTATCTCTCACAACCCCAAATATATTATGAATGCTAATACAATAAGCTCAAGTGGGTATGTGTAACAATGAGATTAATCAAATCTAAACTCAATATAAAACTAGCTTTAATAAGATGATAATCAAACAAATAAATATAAAGCTAGAAAAGAGTTTAGAAAACTTCTCAATAGATGACAAGAGATGGAGGAAGAATAGTTGATTGGTCAAACTCCAATAGATGATCTCCTCAAGCTCTTGTGGAATTTTCTTCACAAACAAACTCTTGAAACAAACTTAAAAACCCTTCAACAAACTTGTAAAACTCTTTTTAAAACTCTCTTAAACATCCATAAGAAATAATGAAAGTTGAGGGCTTTTTATAGCCTCTTAAACCAGCCACAAACCCCCAAAAATCGAAAATATCAAAAACTAGCCGTTACTAGCTGTTATAGGCTGAAAAGACCAAAATACCCCAAATTCCAGCATTCTAGAAATATGCACATCTGACTATGTAAAATCAATTAAAAATAGTAAATCAGCTCCAAAAATTATGAAAATTTGGGGGAAGGTTATAGACATGTAGAATGACATGTTAGAGAAAGAATTCCTGAAAAATCATTTCCCAGTTGAGAGAAATAAATGTTTGAACACAGATATACAGTTTCTAAAAATCTGCTGACATACACGATTTTGTAAAATCAATTGGGTACAGTAAATCAACTCCAAAAATAGTAAAATTTTTAGGAAAGTTTCTAAACATGTATATAAAAATGTTAAAGAAATAATTTCTTGAATATCACTTCCTATTTATGAAAACTCATCTGTTTTGTAAAACATGCACGAACATGCACGAACAAAAAACATGATTTTGTAAATTCCATTAAACATAACAAATCAATTCCAAACTTGATGAAACTTTGCGAAATATTTATAAACATGAAAACAAACATGTTAGAAAAAGAATTTTTCAAATTGAATTTCCATTTGTGAAAACTCATGTATTTTTCAAGTATGTCCAAAGCATGAAAAGTCAAAACCATGCATGTATATATATAACTATATATATACATAGAAACCAAATACGTGTGTGTATATGATATTGAGCTTAAGGTACTTAACACACATAATATAAAACCTAAACTAAGTTACCCAAGCTAGATCTTGATCTTCAATAAGCTCTTCTTGGTAATCTTGCGGATGAAGCTTGAACTTGGATCTTCAACTTGAATTTGCATAGCTTCAACCACTATTCCACCAACCTCCATTTGATATGATCGTTATGGTACAATCCATCCATCCTCCAACTACGTTGTTTATCTATAATAAATAAAAAAATACAAATACTAGACAAACAACATTAGTGATAAATTATTTGTTAAACATCATCAAAACAAGAAGGCCAACAGTTTATTTCCATGCAATTTGCATCTTTGCATTAAAAAATGGGATCCACAAGTTAAAAATTATGGATTTTTAGCAAATAAATTGTTTGTCTATTATTTCTTATATAGTGATTTAGGATTGCCATGTGGGATAAATACATCAAATAAATTATGCTATTTTCAATCTGATCTGTGAATTTAGTCACATATCCTTAATAAAATTCATGTACAACCAAATAAAAATTAATTAAAATTTATCCATTATGTAAATCCTCTTTCATATCCATCGCAAAAAATAGGATTTTAATTATGAGATTTTCAAAATACATTACATATATCAAGAATAATCGCAAACAAAACAACCCCTCAACCTTAAGTAATCTTGAGATTTTCTGTGTAGGTACGCAAATTCTAGGATCACCCATATAGTTACATCATATCTCAAGAAGTCAAAATGTAATTTATCCAAATTTTTAGTTATAAGACAGCTTTTGGTGATCTAGACATCAAGCCTTAGTTTTTTAAAAGTGGCGAACATAAGGGCGGAGTCTGACTTAAAAAATATTGTTTTATGTAGATGACTATTACATCACTTGTTTTTTTTCCTTCTCTTTTGTTTTTTTTCTTTTGTTTTGTTTTATCTTTTTTTTTTGGTTTGACGATGGAACTTCCCCACGATCCTTCAAATCATGGGTATCAAACCCCCGAGCGTGGCTAAGGAGCACCCCACAATGCACGGCCTCGGGTTTTGTAGGAAATAAAATTCATATAAGTGCTTCCTAGATGAGTCAAAACCTATAAAACCTTGAGTATTAATTATAGACAACTCACCAATTCAGCTAGACACTAAGTTTTATCTATGGACAAATTTTCAAAACCGACCTGTTTTGAATTTTATTCCCAAAAAAAGACTCATTTCAAACTTAATTTCAAAAACCAACCTAGTTGGCTGAAACTGGGTCGGTTTTTGGAAAAAAAAAATTTCTAAACTTCACGGGGTTGAAGTCTTGTGAAGTTTTTTATATAACAAAACTTCATAGGACTTCAATTCTCGTGAAGTTTGGGAACTTTTTTTTTTCAAAAACCGACCCAGTTCCAGCCAACTGGGTCGGTTTTTGAAATTAAGTTTAAAATGGGTCTTTTTTAAAAAAGTTTGGCAAACAGGTTGGTTTTGAAAATTTATCCTTTATCTATTCCTCTGATATATAATAGGCTATTTGGATATGATTTTCCTTCCATCTTATCTATATTCATATTTGTTAGATATTTTGTTAAGAAAAGACAATTTTGCCTTCATGAATAGTAATAAAATTTTATAATTAAAACATGTTTTAATTAGCAATTAAAAATATGTGTAACGGCTATATAATTATGGGGAACGTTACAAAATTTATGACGAACGTTACGGAATTAACTATGGGTTTTGTAACGTCTTTACCAACCCTATATATATATCCGTATGTTGAGCTCAAAATGATAAGGAAAAAATATACAACAAGTTTCTCTTGTTTTTCTTCTCTCCCCTAAATATTATTTTCATCTACATCTTAGTTTTATTTTATGGGCAACTTCCTTCATCTGAGTTGAAGCTCTGCACTCTCGCCCGAGTGCAGAGGCCAGCCGTTTCCGGGGGCTTTTACCGCTAGGGGGGAGGGAACCATCTACGCCAGGGCGATAGGCGGGTTCTTAATCTTCTAGGGCAGTGAATACACGACTGCTCCCGATCAGGCTAGTTTTAATTGTTTATTTTTTCGGATTTATTTGCATGCTATAATCTTAATAAAAAAAAGAGAAAATTAATAATAGTTAATTTGTTGTAATTTGCTTTACTTGCTCTTGTTTATTTGTTAACTAATAATTTAATTTAGTTGTTATTAAAATAATATAAAAAAGGAAAATTTTGTTACTGTTCACCGAGGGTTACTGTTCACTCGGGAATTTTTCTATTTATTAAGCAATTTAATTATTGTTCTTCTAATCTAATTGCTTTCATTATTTGTTGGCATAACTAGTAATTAATACTATTAGTTAATTGCTATAAAAAACGGTTATTGTTCATCCAAAGCAGTTACTGTTCATCCGAGATATAAATGTTCATAGGATTAATTAGTTGTTGATTAAAATTCGGAAAAACAGTTATAAAAAAACATTATTGTTCATAAAAAGAATTCAGTTACTGTTCACCAAAATATCTTATTGCTTTAATTAGTTATTTAATATTATTGTTGTTAAAAAAACCAAAATATTTTCTGTTACTATTCATCAGAAAATTAATTCGAGATTACAGTTTCTTTCCGTTCATCCGTTTTAATCACTATGGTTAATTGCTAAAATTAATTTGTTACTGTAATTACCATTAATTGTTCTTAACTAGTAATTAATCTGGTAATTACTGTGGTTAATCGTGCTTTACCATTCCTCTATGAACTGCGATGTGTGCTTGATTGGTCCTGCACAACTATATCTCTAATGATTTATGACTGGCTTGCCTTTGTCATCAACTATGATGATGTTATGTCCTTTGAACTTCCTTAGCTATATATCCTTAAGTAATGTGTCATTTCTAATCATGAACACCTTAAGTGATAGATCATGTCTAGTTTCCTTTCTCTTGTATGTGAATAAAACTTTCCCTTGTGCTAGTGGATAAGCACGCATTTGAAACATGCTATAAATTTGCAGCAGTATACATATTTATCCTTGAAAATTTCATATACATGGTTTTGACAAGTGAACAAAATCTGGATATATATATGCTTTGAAGTATTTAAATTTTTCATGGTTTAATGCCTTCATTTATTTAAGCTATCAATATGATGCCTTCTATAAGCTTAGTACAGAAGGTGGTAAAAGTGAATGCATATTTGTTTAGCAACTTAAGTAGTCGTTGTCTGCAGCAGATGAGTTTTTACTCTCAAGACATAAAAATGATGAGGTTCGAACATCAATAGGAAATATTTTAAAGTTTCTATATACTGTTAAGGAACAAAAACTCATTGAGTGAACCGATTCAAGTTTTCTTGGATTAGTTGGTGCCTAAGACAAGGTTTAGGGGTTGCGTAACGCACTCTGCAAGGAACGAGGTATTTAATTAATCTTTGATCAACCTCTATTACTATCCTTACCTGGCTAACTACCCGGGTAAAACTTTAATCTTTTCGCATTAGGAGTTTTTGGTTTGGAATAAGAGGTCCGTAATTATGAGAAAAATTCATATGTATTTATTTAATTACGCTTCTTGCATCATATATTGCCTAATGATAAATGATCAATATATGAGCGAACCAAATCAAAGAGGTGCATCTTTTAAAATTCTATTTTATATGGTGGATTATATTTCAAATCTTCAAATGTAAAGTTCATCACTTTTATTGCATTTTGATGAATATTGCAATAAATGTTCATATGTCCTTTTAGATAACTTGCATTTGTTACATGATTAATTACAAGGTTTTATGCAAGAATGCACTTGAAAAATTTAAAGCACGTATGTACAAATATTATTATTATTATTATTTGTATAAGAGGTGATACTAGAAAATGGCAACATAAATTTGGAAGGTCTCCTTTGTAGGCAACCAATTTAAATTTGGAAGGTCTCATTTGTAGGCAACCGATTTAAATTTGGACGGTCTCCTTTGTAGGCAACCAATTTGTAACCTCTTATAATAGAAAATTTAAAAATTTTATGCATTTGAATTATGAAGTATGAAATATATTTTAAGATATGAAATCCTATTATGCTCTGCATGTATCTATTATTAATTTCATTCATGTATGTGCATATGCATAACTGCAGAATTTTTAGTTCCACATTAGTTTGAAATGTTCAGATATTAAGGTCAATCTGCACAAACACTATGTGTTTACATCTTCAGACATAGACTATGATATTTTATGATCATAGATCATGACCTAATGTCAATTTCAAACAATATGATGGACTAATTACAAAATAAGAACTTGATAAATAAATACAACGCCTGCTAGGCAAAGTTGTGATTCTAGACTTTGTAAAGTCTGTAAAAAGAATCTTGTTGATCCTTTGACTAAGGGTCTATCCAGGAGTGTGATTCTGGATTCATCAAGGGAGATGGGGTTAAGCCCATAGATGAGGTCACTGACAGCGGCAACCCAACCCTTATTTGGAGACGTAGTCCCAATGTTGGTTCAATGTGGTAGAAACAAGCTGGACTAGTGACACTCGTGTGGAGCATCGACCTAGATATATTTATATATCATTATGTAACATTTTCTACTACCCCTTCTCTATGATGACGATGCTCTTATGATACAGCTTGCTAGGCTGAGTTTTACTCTTAATCACTGATTCTCTCCTTTATGGTAATGAATCCGACACTGAATCATCGGCCCATGGCACGGACAGCGGAGAAAAAGCTGATACTGAGGCCGGATTTGATTACAATGGAGGTTATGTTTTAAACGACATTGTACCCTTTGTAATCAACCTTGACCAGCTTGCTAGGCTGAGTTTTACTCTTAATAAGTCCAACGCGTGTATTGTGGGGGGTATTAAATAAACAGCTATAATACCCTTTGAGGACTTACCTACGTGAGAGGAACCGTGATGGCCGTGGTTAGGGGGAGGCTGGGCTAACCCCTAGTAACTCTCATGAGTCGGTTTATTGTGAGCATGGCCTTTAACGCTCAACCCGCTTTGCTCAATAGATGAAGCGTATTGTGTGTGTTTTCATCAATACCTGATTAAAGGGGCCTAATTCAAGGCCTAGTCCATTATGTCCCTCAGGTGGCGATGAACTCACTAAGGAAAGAGCTTGTTTTTCAATGGGATGTTCAATTATCAATGTAGGAACTGAGTTTGTGGACTTAAAATCTTGCTCAAGTTCAGCGGCTCGGCGAGCTCTGACAGCATTATCATACTGCTTAACAAAATCATGTAACTCGGTATTTACATTCACAAAATGATCAAAAAAAGCATTAATTCCCTCACTCCGCTGAGTAGATGTCATTCCTGCAGTAAAAGTGTCTTTAAGATACACTGGAGCCCAATGATCTCGATGATTGTATAAATTTACTAACCAACTCCTTTTATCTGCACCATATTTGTCCCTCATTTCTTCCCAACGCTTTTCAAATTTTTCTTCCGATTTACTCCAATACCATTTGTTATACTTTACACCAACATCCTCACCATAATCATTATGCATTGATTGAAGATTTTGTAAGGCATTCCTACGAAGGTGCCAAGAACAAAAGCGATGGCGAGTTTTAGGAAAAACTTTGTGAATAGCACCACACATAGCTTTATCTTGATCAGTGATGATTGTTACTGGTGCTATACCCGACATACATTTTAACCATTGGCTAAATAACCATATAAACGTCTCCTCCGTTTCATCGGCCAGTAACGCACACCCAAATAGAGTAGACTGTCGATGATGGTTAACGCCCGTAAATGGTGCAAACGGCAATTTTAAATTGTTCGTTCTATATGTAACATCAAAGCAAACAACATCTCCAAATTGCAAGTAAGAAGTCCTCGACCTACCATCCATCCAAAAAACACTTCTCATCGTCCCATCATTTTCTAAATCAAGTGCGAAGTAAAATTGAGGATCAGATACCTTTTTCTCTTGAAATTGACGAACTATGTTCACGCACTCATGGCCGACGTTGTTTCTTCGTTTAAGTCTAAGTTGTGCTTGGCATTCTTGTTGAGTGAGAGAGCCTTGTTCATTGCCATGAGCAACGTCTACAACCTTACAAATGGCAGAAGGCCGTAAACCTTGATTGTCAAGAGTATCTATCAACCTTTTTGTCGATTGAGCTCGATGAAGTGTCCGATGTGAGTAGTGCTTCTTTACCCGAGTTGGGGTGGTTAATGGATGACCATTATGCTTACTGTTTAACTTTCGGACCACCCATTTTTCAGTGCTTCTATCAAGTCCAATAACCATCCTTGCGTTGCATCCACATCTTGTATCGAACTTTCGAATTACATTCCGACCATCTTCTCTTTTATCTTTTAAAGATTTAAAGCCTTCTTTGTCACATACAAATATTCTAGATAGGATTGCATCTTTCTTTCTCGACCAAGCTGTGTGACCCTTGTGAACACCAAATCCCTTAAGTCTGGCGTGTGCATTGTATAAATTATAAGCTTCCTCATGAGTAGAGAACTCCATTCCGATATATGGATCAACGCTGTTTAAATTATCTTCACCATTTTCAACGCCCATAAGCTCATCACCATTCTCCTCATGCTCAGATGCCTATAAAAATAGAGAAACAAAACTCATGCTAAAAGGCAACTATTTTGGTATATGTCATTAGTTAGTAGTACACTATAAACAATAAGATATTATCACCTGAGGGGGAAGCCATGTTGTAGATAGTAGATCATGGTCCTGGCTTTTATCTTCTTCCATTGTTGCCTCACGTGAGAGAATTGGTGGAGTGTCTATACAAGCTATCAAATTATCACATATAAGAAGTTCAAAATCGCTCAAAAAACGTCATCAAGTTGATCTTTCAATTTCACTAAACAATTTCTAAACGATAGTTTAAACCAAATTTAAAGTTTATATCCAATTTAACAATACATGGCAAAAATAGCTCTAAATTATCCGGCTCGTAGCCATAGAGTGAGTGCTGCAAACCAAGTAATGTATGAGCTGAAATTAAAAGGAAGAAGATAGATCCAAGATCCAAGGAATATGCATGAGGGAAGATAGAACCATCATGAAATCCACTAGATCTAACAGGAACGCCAACTAGAACTAACATGCCTCGTAATAGAACTAACATCATCTCCATTAGAGCTAACATGCATCCCGGTAGCATTAACATGCATTTCAGTTAAAACTAACACGTTAATTTAGAGCTAGCTAACATGCATTTCAGTTAGAACTAACACGTTAATTTAGACCTGATGCCTTACCTCGGTGGAGGCGAGCTCGACAGCGGCGAAGTGCGATGAGCCGGCGGCAACACTGAGCGGGGACGGCAAGCGCAGGCTGCGGCGATTTCGTGAGGTGGAGAGGAGGGGGGAGGTGATGGCGAGGATGACGTCGAGGGCTTGATCGATCTCCGGAGGCGGCGATGAACCTGAGGGCTGAGCTCGAATGCCGTCGGAGGCGTGGCTGATGACGAGGGGTGAGCTCGATGGCGAGGACGAGTAGACGGCGATGACCCGGCGGCGACGCTCAGCTGCGGTGATCTCGGGCGCTGGAGAGGAGGAGGGGAGGTGATGGCTAGGGCAAGGGGACGGCGGCGACGCTGAACGGGGACGTCGAGGGCTTGGCCGAGCTTGGGCGGCGGCGCTTTCGGGCGGTGGTGAGGAGGAGGGGGTCGGTGATGGCGACCGAATTCGCGATCTTGATCCGGCGGCGACGCTGATCGGGGGCGGCGAGCTCCGGCGGCGATTTCGGGGGCTGGAGAGGAGGAGGCGGGAGGTGATCTGCGCGGGAGAGATGAGAGAAGGGTAGGGATTTTGGGGGGATGAGATTTTCAACGAAGGGCTCAGATCTCTCTGAGGGGTTTTGAATAAACGGCCCAGATCGCGCATCCTCAGATCCAGCCTACGGAGTCACCGCAGATTCACTTGACCCATATAACAAATACCAAATGATATAAAAGATAATAAATCCATGATCTCCTTCCATTAGGTATGATATTTCCATTGTAAGAGATCCGAACACTTATCAAATCAACCAATGCCAGAGAACCTGACTCAACATCAATGTGAAAAATATTCTTGCACGACACAGATTTATACCCTCTTTAAGAGCCATCATCTCAACCCAAAAATTAGTGTAACTTGAAAAAAAAAATCTGCTGATCTTGCAACCGCCACAGTCCCATCTCTATCTCGGTTGACCACCTCTCCACTGCAGGGTCAAGGATCCAGCAGAGCTGTGCTCTCCCTATTTAGTTTAGAGGAAAATCTCATAGACTTTTTCCAAGAAACCAAGATTATTTTTCTTACAAAATTTGTATCATCAGAGATCATGAGCAAGACTAGATCTTCAATCTGAGATCTCGAGCAGATCGAGGGCTTTAGAGTGAAGATTTTTCTCTAGAATTGTAAACTGATGTGCATTTCCTAGATTGAAATCCACGTATTCAATGATGTGGCATTAATTTTTAATTTTCTTAATTATTGCAAGGACTTATGAAGTACTTATTGCAATCAAATTACCTCAGGCAAATATTGTATTTTCTTCAAGTTTGACAACTATGCTTATGATTATCAGATATGTCGCCAATTTAAACATTGAAAATTCAAGTTTGAACTTTAGATATACAGAGTTTATTGAGAAAATAGAGAAGAACAACAACGTCAAATGTTTTTGGAAACACAAGTACACAAAGTTAAAACTTTTAGTGTACAAGGCAGTCATTCCTTGAGTATAGCACATGTGCATTGGTGATAGCACATGTGCTAGCTGACTTGTGCAAATCCCTTGATTGTAGTAATCCTTTGATTATTGCATGTGTGCGCCTTTGTTATATAGAACATGTGTCTCATTGTAACATCGTTATAAACTCATGTATTTCGACCCAACAATCGTCAAAAATGAGAGTAAAAAATTCCTCAATAATCTTTATTTTCAATATGGTATCAAAGCATCAGGTGATTTTTTTTAGTCTTCCACTGCGTACTTTGCTGTCATTCTAGAAGTCATCACCATTGTATCACCACCTTCATCACAACTCTTATCACTACAACAGAAAAGCTAATCCGCGAGGAACAAGTTTGTCGTTGAAAGTCGAGATTTCCTCGTCGTAGTGTGTTCGCGAGGAAAAAACTTTGGTCACCATTTCCTCGCAGTAGGGTGGTCAAGAAAAGTTTCTGCGAGGAATATTATAATTTCTCACGAAATCCTTTTTGTGATGAATATATTCTTTTCTCGTTGTTACTCTTTAGCCTCGATATTTTTCCTCACCTAATCTCATGCCTTTTTCATCGCTAAACTACAGTTTCCTCGCCAATGATATGTGAATAATATTTAATTTATATATAATAAAAGTTCTAAAAAAATTATTTTCGTCGTTGTAAGTACCTTTCAACGAGGAAATTATTCCTCACCAAAGGTAAATCATTAACGAGGAAATTGATTTTCTTCATTATATGTATCTTTTTCTCGTGGAAACAGTTCCTCAGTAAAGGGACTCAAAGACGAGGAAATTTAAATTTGTCGTTGTAGGTTGTACCTCATATTCCTCGCCAAAGAAATTCAATTACGAGGAAATTTACATTTGTCGATATAAGTTATATGGTCTATAGCGAGGAAAATTACTTTTGTCGTTATAGGTTGTATCACTATAGCGAGGAAATATGTTTTGGTCGACGTAAGTAGTATACTCTATAACGAGGAAATATTCTTTTGACGACATAAGTATGTGGCCTATTGCGAGGAAACATATTTTCGTCACCTTAGGTTGTAGGGTCTATTTTGAGGAAATTTACTTTCATCGACCTAAATTTATAGCGAGAAAACTTATAATGAGGAAATTTTATTTCATCAATAATAATGCTATTACGAGAAAAACACAAAATATAAATAATTATCATCAATTGTCACCACAGTACATCAAAACAATTAAAATAAATAAAGCAAGAAAGGTACTATCATAAGTAACAATACTAGTCTAAAGCAATAACAAATGCAACACGATCAAAGAAACATTTCTCCAAGTTAAGTTCACTAAGAATACTAAGCTGATGGATGTTGCCTCGAAAAATTAGCCATAAACTCCTCAAACTTTTTGGCTTGCTCCTCCAATCTTTGGATTACCTCATTTTGCGCATCGATCTTCTGTTGTTGAGTTCCTACAAGTTGTTGGGTCTCTTGAAGCTGTTCTTGCAACTCTTTATTCTTTTCAGACATTTCACTCATTGAAGAACGAGAGAACCTTAATGGTGGTGGTCTAGGGCCAAAACCACAGCCCTTAATGTAGCCTGATTTGACTTTGAGAACTTTTGCACAAATTTCCTCATCTGTCATTGTTCGAGTTCCATCAGGTTGAGTGGTATCTGCTCGCATCTTTATCATTTGATCCTATAAGTAAAAAAATATATATCCAGTTCAATCATATGCAACTTCTTAATTACAACCTAATCAATATAATCCTCTTTAGAACAGTAATATCAGTTTCACCTATATTCTTAAAATATTATAAAAGCATGCATCATTGACACGTTACTTACCCATTTTTCCTTTGCTCCCAAGTCCCATCCTTTTTTTGTACGTACTTCTATACTCTGTTTCAAAACGATCAATTGCACCTTGCATCTCTCCGTTCTGTGTTGCCTATTGCATTCAAACATGTTTTCATTTTTAGCATATATATATGTACACAATTAAGTTATAAATTTATAAGCAAAACTAAAAAGTGTCTTACAATTTGCTCTTGGTGTGACATAAATGATTTTGACCCAGCTTTGTGGTGATATGTCAACTTTGACCTATTAAGAACATTCTTCTCTGAGCGAATCTAAAATTATTAAGACATACAATTAGAAAGAAGTAAATGAAAAAAGAAAAAATGTAATGCGTGGAGAAAAATAAAAAAGATATTGTACCTTAAACTTTTCACTAGAAAAATGAGTGCAAAGAAACTCCCATTCTTCCTGAGTCTTGACAGCTTCATGTTTGTTTTGAATTGCCTCCTCAATTGTTGAAAACTACTCAAAATGTTTCTTTAACTTATAACGAAAATTACAATATACGGTCTGACATGTTGTAATTACATATCTCTGGACCCAAGGGAGCGACATATCAAATTCAAATTTATTCTGCACAGGCATAATTTCATGTCAAACTAAATATAACAAATCAAAGCAACCAATATAATGCCTTTAGCAAAACAAATCATCACTAACCTGCATTCTTTTGATCAAGTTCTCCACATCTGCTTTTTCAATCTTCTTCCATTTTTCCACATTCAGTGGGACGTAGTTTCGAATTGTGTAACCAATTTCATTTGCAAACATCTCAGCATAAGGGCCAGTAGGTCTGCCATTTTCTTCAGTCAGAGTCACAGGTATTTTAGAATTCAATTGGGAGAACACCTTATCTGCATTCACTCCTCTTGTCTTCCCTCGCACCTTTTTGGTTGTACCTTTGACATAATTTTTATTAAGAACATAACACATACGTATATTTAATTCTCAAAATATTTGTATATAATGTTTTGTATACCTGAAGGAGGCTCCTGATTAATATCTGACATCACATTATCATCTCGCTCTTCAACTATGGTGTTTACCACTGGCTGATCATTAACACTTTGTTGCTGAAGACGTGCACTAACTCTAATCCCTGTCATTCGAGTTTGTAGTTTAGGTATACCCTTGTAATTTGCAATTGATGAAAATGAAATTCAATTCAGCTTCTCTACACCTTTTAGAGGAAAATAATTCAATTCTGCTCAATTCAACTGAATTCAGCTCAATTCAACACCACTTACCAGTAGTAGTTCGTTCTGTGGTGACAACAGTACTACTAGAATTCAGTCCATCTGCTACAGAATTTTGGCATTCTTGATTGGAAGTTTGCAGACGAGTACGTTTTGTACCTATTAGCATACACACTTGTTAGATAAGTAAAAACTAACAGTACTTAAATATTCTAGCAGTAAAATGAAGATTGCATATTTACTCGGATTAGAACCAGATCCATTCCCTGTAGAATTCACGTATGGCAGATAACTAGTTGCTGCATGAGAACGTTTCTTTTTCAATAATTCTGCATGTGATTGATTACTTGGTGCATTACCTGTTGTTACATAAACGTTAAATTGATAATAATATTCTAATCAACCAAGTGAATGAATCATGAATTATAAGAGAAATATGCACTACTTACCAGAAGTAGAACTCTGAACGGTAGGCGTTTTGTTACGGTACATCTTCTCACTGTTTATTATCAGACAATTAGAATGGTCAAAATGCAAAAGAATGTAACATTCATCTATTTGAATCATTACCATGTTTATATGAGTCTCAAAGAAATTTTTTCTGCTATTCTTGCTAATAACTGTATCTTTTTCTGGTAGGGCTACTGATAATCATGTACGTGGAACTTTTAATTACATCTCCAGAAATGCATATCACAGAAATTCTCTTAACTGTAAACCAACTTTTCATCAAAGTAGATTTGTTGGCAAGGAAAATAGAAAAATGCGATAAGTTAATGCAAAATGATTGCCCGTTGGTGTATGCGCGCGCGTGCATGATACAAGCATGTACGAATGGATGAACAATTACATGGTTTGATGTACCGGATTAAGAATTTCTAACTTGCAATGCTTCCAAAACGTCCTCTGTTCTTGCTGTTCATTCCCTCACAAATTAGCCAAGCTTTCTGTTTGTTTACAGGTTTGTGCTTAGGCAAATCCTATTTAGAAGCCAACATAGAATACCCGAGACGCTTCTTTATTTAGAAAGATACATGGACTTAGATTTGATTGTTTGGCTTTCGGTATCTGAGACTCCTTGTTTTCTTGAGCCTGATGCCTCTATACTCGCTCGCAGACAGGCTGGGGTTTGCAGTGTAGAGCTTGTCAATTTACAGTTTGTGACTGAAAGCAGGTGCAGATGCAACACTCGCTTCCAGTGTTCTCCACCTTTAAGTCCTCCTTTTTGTTCTTGTATTGCCATGTTCCCGTATAGCGAAACTGTTTTTTTGCGGATTACAGTATTATTTACTTCTCCTTCACTGGTGATTTTACCTTATATATCTACAATTTTCATGTTTTGTTTTTTTTTCCTTTGTTTGGTTTAGTTCACTTCCTTCTGTTTTAAAATCTAAGCCCGGAAACTGATAACATCAAGTACAAGTCTGGATTTTACGAGAGTAAAGATAGCATTGTACCTCTATGCAAAGACCTAAACCTATTCAGTAGTCTGCAAGTTATGTGTGCTTTGTGATCATGTATCTGTCATTCATGAAACTTCATCAAATACTTTCAGCTATGTACTCAACGTATTGACATTTCTATATAAAAACTATGATCTATAAATAATTTTAACGTCCTAAAATGCTTCTGTATATGCAAAGAAATGTGGATTAGCTACTTCAGTCAGCATTGTACCTGTCTAAGCTCAGACATGCTTCATCTACCTTCAAAGCAAAGCGACAACAACTGTACTATCACTTCACTTTATCAATATCCTAAGTTCACAATATATATAAAAAACTACTACTCATTTCCTCTGGTGACCTGTCTTCTTCCTTATCTCGGTGAGTAATCCATATATATAAAAAACTACTACTCATTTCCTCTGGTGACCTGTCTTCTTCCTTATCTCGGTGAGTAATCCATAGACTGGACCTGCAACACGCAATGATTTGTGTTGAGATAAAATTGAAGGAACCCATATAGGTTTTCCCTGCAATTGCTCGATCAGTGTGCTTGTTCTGTCAAATAGCTGGAGGAAAGTAGGTGATCATTTATACTAATGTAGTGCCAATTACATTTGAAAGATGAAGAATCTAGGTTACATGTTTAGTCCCATATCACTAAGTTCAGAACATGGTGGAGGATATATCTTAGTATATATAGCAAGTGCGAAAGAAAGACATCATCATTGGTGAAAGTTGAAATAATATGTAAGGGAAATTTCACAAAACCCCTTTATAATTCGGCAGATTTTTGGTATAACCCCGATAACTTTGAAAATGTCAGTAACCCCTCTACATTTGGCAGATTTTTTATATAACCCCGCTAACTTTGAAAATATCAGTACAGGATGTCACGCCCCGAAACTGCAGCGGAATATCATAAAATACGGGGTACGCGACAGCAGCGACCTGTGCAC